ATAATTCAAGAAATCAGACACGGGATTAAGAATTGAAAAATCAAAACTAAGGAGAACTAAAAGTAACAAATAAAGAACAAGAAATAAAGAGCCAAAGATCGAAGATCAGAATCAAAGAGTTGAAAATGGGGCAACAAGAAAATTAGAAATCACGAATTAAGGATTATTGGACGATGTGTGTATAAATTAAGATTCAATGATCTCAAATTAGAAATTAACAAAAAGAATTAATTAGTAATCAGGAACGAAATGAATTCTAAGGATATGATCAAAACATCATTTATATTGTACGTAATGTAATTAATATAAAGTTTAACCATAAGTAAGGTTTAATCAATGCTGATGACATTGATATATAATTATTGATTCAAGAGCTACAATTATATCATGCTCATTTACAATTCAAATACCTCTTTGCAATTATCACACGTCACGCCATTTTTCAATTTTATCGTATCATTTAGCACGATCACAATAAAATATTATTAATTATTACTACTTGTCGTTTATCATTTTACATTTAATTTAACTTAAAAAATTAATATACAGGGGGAAAAAATGATAACGGATAACAGTTAATAATAACACAACAATTTTCTAAAATTGCAAATTTTAATCAAAAATCATTTTGCACTTTTACAATATTATTCCACATATTGTAATGGTACAAAATTTTTACTAAAAATTGTAAAATTGTTTTTCAGTTTACAGTCTTTCTTATTTCTAATTATCCATTCTATTAATTAGTGATTTAATCGCTCTTTTTTTGTTCACGGGAATACTTACGTAAAACAGCGAGGACTACAGAGAACAGAATGGCTGTCAAGCTGAAAAAAAAGGAGGAGAATATTAATTGCTGTTTCATTATTTAAAGTAATAAATATTTAATATATTTCTAACAATTTTCTATTTTGGAGAGCGGGTTAAAACTAGTGTTTTACCTTTCTTAATTTAATTTCTGTCATTTTATGAGAAATTTGAAACATATTTAAGAAAAAAATATTAAGAAAAAGAAAAAAGTAACTACTGTTACATTTTTAAGAGAATGTAACTAAGTGTATTTCGTTTTACATAATACTTACTATTATTAATTATCGTATACCGTCTAATCTAACTAGTTAATGAAACTTATTTACGATGACTAGAAACGAAAAAGTCTATTATATATTATAAAATTATACAGTTGCTCGTGAATAAATGTATGATCATTGAAAGATTACAAAAAATAATGCCAAGATACGTAATTTGAAACGCATCTTAACGAAAAACAGTATTTTCAACTGTGATTCAGTACAATTCGCCAGAACGAAATTTTGATAAGGGATTGTATGAAAATATATTGCAAATTAGTAAAATAAAATTACGTAACAATTGCTATGTATTTCAAAAATAATGTATTAATTTATCATTGGCGTAGTTCGTCGTTGAATAAACGATTGGAACAAAAAAGAAAATAATTGAGAGTAGTATCGCATCACAGTAGTATTTCCAGGCCGTGGTTTGTGAAACGTTCATGTCTTCCGCGTTTTACAATCTTGCAAATTTTCACCGTCCGTTAGTCACTGAAGAAACATTTCTTACACCCACTTTTTTCTTTAATGTAGATTTTCGATTTTACACATTGATTTACGATTATATGCATTGTATACGTTTTAACGTTTTCCAATTTCCCTCGAATGCACAAAACTGTTATAATACATATGTGTTTTTATCGTTCCACGGAAAAGCAGCAATTAGGTGATACAAATAAATAATTATTAGCTGAATAATCAATTAAAACTGAATTATTCAA